AAATAAAAAAGCCGTCCCAAACCGAGCCTTAGTTTGAGATGATTTTCTTATTGCTTCTTAAACCATTTTTTTAATACGAAAAATTTTCACTAAAAAGCTGCTTTGTAAAACAATAAGAAAGCTATTCCAAACGAAGTCTTAGGCTTTGCTTGGGACGACTTTTTTACTGCATCTTAAAGCAGCTTTTGAGTATATAAATTTTAACTTTTGTACAAACAAACTGTTTTAAAAAACAGTAAGAAAGTTGTCCCAAACAAAATCGTAGTTATTCAAATTTAAGTTTCATTTAGGACAACTTTATTATTTTTTTTCAAAATATTTTTATGCTAAGAAGTTGCTTTATAAAGCAATATGAAAGAGCTTCCATAAATATTAATTTATCTTCGTGACTCCCAATCATTTACTTGGATCACAACACTGGATTTTGTGGTTGTGGTTGCGTTTGCTTATTTGATAATGATGAAATTAAATAGTTCAAATCCTGTGCCTGTCTTCAATTAAATAGGAATGAATATGACTCCTCAACTATTATTAATGCTGGCCTACAGCTGCTATTATAGTATAAAATTTTCATAAAAATATTATTAAACTTTTTACACGAGGGCGTAATGCTTCTGATAAATTAATTAATAGCAAAAAATTATTTTTTTTTTAAGATCCTCATGCAATGTTTTTTATTTTAATGGACTCATGTGATGGTTTTAACGGTAATTTAGTTGAATATTATTTATATATTAATATCATTACAAATGGAATGCATTCGATTTAATGGTCTCACTTAAAAAAAATGGAAAAGTATATATGTAAAATGATTATTGGTGATAAGTTTTTAAATTATCATTATATATTTAATATAAGATAATTTTTTGATTAAATACTCTCAATTTGATCAGAAATATTGATATTCCTTAAGAAAATTCATTTTGATCGGTACTAATCTTGATGTAATATTTATATTAGAAACTTTTAGAAATAAATTTAGAATCAATAATCGTAGTTCAGTTTCAGCAAACTTATATTCAAATTGGGTATCTTGGAAAGATAAATCCAATGACACTAAGGTTAACCAATTCGACCTATGTGAGCCCAAATCAAGCACCTGAATGATAGTAAAGAAGTATAATTAGTTAAAAAGCGATGCTAGGGCACCGTCTCCGTCTCGGCGCCGCTGGGGCTTTGCCCTAGCTTTCTTGGGCTGGGATCTTGGCTTCGGTTTGCTGATCTCCAGGGAGTTTCTCTTTGTTTGCCTTCTTCATTTTCTGCCTTCGATTTTTTTTCTTTTCATTATGGTGGCTAGTCGTGTTTGTGATCCCGGTTTTTTGGATGGATCCTTCAAATCGCGCTCTTTTGTTGAAGCTTTATCTGGTTCTTCAGTTTCAGTTGATTTTCCTGAGTTAAGAAAGGGCTTTTGTCATGGCTTACCCTCTTTATGGATATCGGAGGAAGAAATTTTAGCTATGTCTGTTCCTTTTCAATTTGCTCTTGTTGGTTTCTTTCCTACGCACCGTCCGTCTCTAGATGCAACACGAAAAAAAAAATTTCAGCTTGAAACTAAATGCTGAATTCTCTGTAACTGTTCTGGATCAATCTCATATTCTTATTAAGCTTTCTAATGATTTGGATTATAGTAGAGTGTTCTGCCATAGATCTTATATGGTTAATAACTGCTTTTTGAAACTTACTAAATGGTCGCCGGATCTTGATGTCGGGGTTGAGTCTCCGGTAATTCCTATTTGGGTGGCCTTTCCCAATCTGCGACCTCACCTTTTTGCGCCTTGTATCCTCCATGCCTTGGCTTCGATGTTTGGCCGTCCGTTAAAAGTTGATAATTCAACCTCTGTCGGGTCTAAACCTTCCGTGGCGAGGGTCCTGGTAGAGCTTGACATTACTAAGGAACTTCCTGATAAAATTTGGCTTGGTTCGGAGATTTCTGGGTATGTTCAACTGGTTCGTTTTGAGGACGTGCCTGCTTATTGTATTTTGTGTAAACGGCTTGGTCATTTCAAGGGGGAATGTGGTAATTTTTCTGCCATTTTGAATGGTCCTCAATCTCGTGAGAATGCGGTTAAGCCTGTAAATAATTCGAACATTGGTGTCAATTCTTTGGTCGTTGAAGAGGCGCAGGTTGCGGAAATTCCTTGTGATCTTGGGGATCGGCCGCTGCCTGTGTGCGGAATTTCTGAGATTATGGAGTCTTTGGTTACTTCTAACCCGTCTGTCATTATGCCCACCATGAATGTGGTTGAGTTGGTTAATGTTGCGAATGATATGCCTGGTGGTCGTGTTGGTAACTTCTCTGTCTTATCCCCCGATGCAGCTCCTTTTGTACATCCGGTTGTGTCCGATGTTAGAGACCCTGTTTCTCCGACGGTGGTGCCGGAGGTGGCTTCTGGTGCGATGAATGTGGTGAATTCGGATGGCTCGCTAGTTTTGGGTGTTGTGAACTCTAATGGGGGTGTTCAAGTTTTAAAGGTTGCAGAGGGTGGTTCAGATGGTTTTATGCCTGTTGCGGTGGTGCCGGTTGAAATTGAGAAGGAGGTTCCGTCTCTGGGAGAGGAAGTTATTTTGATTTCCAAAGATTTAGTTGTGGTTCCTGTAAGTGAGGTTGATTCCCAAGTGATGGCTAATTGTGTGGGTAATTCCTCTGGTTTGGATATTAGCTAGGAATCAGAGTAATTGGTTGGTTGATTCGTCGGATGTTGAATAGGAGTCGGAGAATCTTGAGTCCGACCATGATTTTTCTTTTGTGCGTACTGCAAATGTTCGCACTCGTGGAAAATTTTGGGGAAGAGGTCGACGCAAAAGATGAACCTTCTTTAAATTATTTTGTTTCTTCTTGCTATTCCTGCTCGGGTTTTGTCGGATTTTCTGTTCAATTTGCTGCTACGTGAGGCAAAGAGCAATGATGTGGTTAGGGCTCGCGTCCCGGACGTTTTTGCTGGTGGCAACCGTAGGTGTGGATTTTCGGGTGGGACGCTATCTTGCACCTTTCTGGAGAGTCCGTGCGTGACGTCCTGGACGTTGAAAGCTTTGACTAATTCCTGAGCTCGCTCTTAGTTTCTAATTCTCTCTGTTGTTCAGTCTTTTTTTCTGGTAGCTTTTCTTTTTATGCTATTGTAACAGTGGTTTTTGGTTTATTAATATAATTTCTTTAAAAAAAAAAAGAAAAAAGAAAAAAAAAAGCACCTGAATGATAGTAAAAAAATTTGGCATATTAATTGGAGGATTAAACGATCTCATAATGTCGAGGACGACATTTTTTTTGAAGTTGGGGAGATTCAGTCTTTTTTTCTGGTAGCTTTTCTTTTTATGCTATTGTAACAGTGGTTTTTGGTTTATTAATATAATTTCTTTAAAAAAAAAAGAAAAAAGAAAAAAAAAAGCACCTGAATGATAGTAAAAAAATTTGGCATATTAATTGGAGGATTAAACGATCTCCGAAGATTGCATGCGTATAGTCAAAATGAGTGGCTTGATGAGACGAATCTAATGACCCAATGTAATATCAAAAATCTGCTCCAGGATCGTCCAGGACGATCTGGATCGTCCTGGGACGATCAGTGGAAAGTTTGCTCCAGATTTTGCCCAGTTTTTTTTAAATATTGAATACAAAATTTATAATCAAAAGATTCGATATAAGCTGCTCGATGGAGTATTATAAAATTTTGCTTAAAATTTTTAAAATGCCCACTCTTAAAGCACTATAAATAGACCTTCATTTTCTACTTGAAAGGGGACCCAAATTTAGTAAGAGAGAGAGAGAGAGCGAGCTTGGAGATTTGAAGAAATCTAGAGCTATACTTGACGTTCGATGCTATATATGAACTAACTACTATTATTTGACCACCATCAATTGATTATCATTATTTGACCACCATCTCTAGATCATCATCACATAACTGTCATTATCTGAACTCCATTGCTCAATCACAGTCATCAAACCACATTCGCTGTCCGACTGTTATTGTCTAATCATGATCACTTGAATAACATCATCTAATTATTAATCTCTATCATTCTTCATCTTATTTATAGCAATAAAAATTTGTAATCGTATCCTCTTTGATTGAGGGGAGAGAAGAATCCTTCAACGATCATCTACATATTAGATCATTTTATCTAGGTCAGGCTTGTGATTTTTTTTTTCTCTTTGTGGATTTTTATGTAAAAATTTAGATCTTATGTATTCTTTTTTATTATCCCAATATGTTGGATGTTTATGAAAAGCTAAAATCTAAAAATTCAATCTCTATTGCTTGACTTTTCTAATATATAACAGTAATTAAAATTAGTGATCAATGATTCTTTTGTGCCGTGATGCCAACACATTTTTAACAAAATCTCTCTTTAAACACATAGGTACCTGAAACATTGCTCAATTAAAATATGAACTATACATCATTTACCAAATTATTATTCAAAGACATCATGCACCACATTAGACAAGTGACATAGCATTACAAAATAGGTATCTTTCAATCAAACCTACCTACAAATTTTCAAAAGAAAAACATCTTGTTTAGATACATTTGGATAGGCAATAATTAATCACCCAGGCTTCATTTGTGACAACTTTTTTGTTGCTTTCTAAAACAGCTAGTACAAAAAATCTTTTTTAAATTTTTTGTATGAAAAAGCTGTTTTTTGAATCAATACGGAAGCTGTCCCAAATGAAAGCTTCGTTTGGGACAGCTTTCTTACCGCTTCTTAATATAAATTTTATTATTTTGTACTAAAAAGTTGCTTTAAAAAGCGGTAAGAAAGTTATCCCAAACAAAGCCGATTTAGCCGAAGGCTCAAACAAATCACAAAATTATCTCTATTAATTCGTTGATTAATTAACATAATACAAAGAATCTATAACACTAATGTGAATGCTCAATATTCCTCATTATCATCAAACCAAATTGCTGACATGACCTGATTGAACATCTAACTTCTAGCTAGCAATTTAATAAAATAAATTAAAAAGCTAATCATATAATGTGCCATAACTTTTATTATGTCGGCAAAAAATAAAGTCACCTGAGACAACCTGTCCAAATTTCTCTTCTGCTACAAGAAGAACAAAAAAAGCTAAATCGAATTAAAGAAAAATAAAGAAAGTTATATCTCCCTTGGATCAACAAAAAGCTCCGGCGGCGCCGTCGCCTTCGCCCACTCCGGCACCGCCCCCTGAGACCCCCCTTCGCCCCCCAACGCCTTAATGCACCATAAATCCTCCGAGCTGAAGATCCACTTCCAATGCGGCACATGTTTCCTCAGTTCATCGTTCCCTCCCAACTCAGCAACTATCATCTCGCTATCCTTCACCTTCACAGCCATATTGTGCACAAAATTACACAAAACCTCCATCATCAACCCCGCATGCGGCCCCTCGCCATGTAAACCGTACAAAAAATAAAATCCAAAAACTGAAAATAGAGCAGGTACTGCACGAATTTTAAAGCAAGGGAGAAGTACTGATTCCATTAGCTTGGAAAGCTTGGCCAAAGCAACGAAATACCATGGCACTCTTCCTAACCTCAGCTTGAACACCTCGCAGCTGTTCCAGACGCTGAGCACAGCCCAGCTCTTCGCCGTCGGCCAGCTCTCGTCTTTCCGGCAGGCGACGAATGTTCCTAAGCTGAGATTGTTTTTGAGAATACTGTCTATGTCGAGGGGGAAGAACTCGGCTGAACATCGCATTTGTTTATTGTAGAGAGAGGTCGCTTCGTCGACGGAGAGATTGATTACTGTTACATTGGATGGGATGGGGATCGGTCGCCGGCTGACTGTGTTGACGAGGATGACCGGTTGTCGGAATTTGATGTAGTTGAGCTTGTTGGTGAAGAGGTTGATGGAAGGGAGGTTGGTTTTCTGGGTGGCCATGTAAGCGAACTCGACGGAGTTAGAAGAGAACCATTTTTCGATGGCACCGACGAGGAGAAAGGCGATGCCTCTACGACGATGCGAAGGGGAAACTCGGAGGCCGAGAATGTAGCCGACGGTAGCCTGGGAGGTGCCAACAATGACTGTTTTGATTGAGCCACGGATAACTCCCACAATCTTGGAGCCTAGCTCAGCAACCTGTGTTGATATGCAGGTGGTGGCTCATGAGCAAGAGAAGAAGATGTGATGAGCGTAAAAAGTAGTATAATATTGATATCTAACCGTTATGTTAAATTTTAATGGCGAAGACTGTATATCTTCATTAAATTAGCCTCAATAATTTAAGCCTTTGACGTTCCAACGTTTTTGGAATATTTTTTTTTTAACTATAAAACGTTTTCTAATGATTTATAGGATATCTCTTCGAATATTATTTTGTAAGGATAATATAAACTTTGTTGAAAATCTTTAGAGGTAGCAGTCGAATGAAGAAAAAAGGACTACAAAAGATTCTTTAAAGGATATATTGTTTTGTGCTGACGTCGAACACAATTCTACCTTCGGATATCAATCAAAATTGAGCCACGTCAGCGATACCAAATCTCGGTACCAACACTCAGTACCGTGGTACCGAGGGATACCGAGCTGCGGGCCTATATAACCGGACGGGTTCCACAATAATTTTTTCCTTTAAAGATATCATCTGAAGGTACGATGTTACTGTTTTTACCTCCCATCATTCTTGTATTTTCACTTAATGTTTTTTTTTTAAATTTACTAAGTTAGAGTTTTGCTGTAAAAATATATTATAGTTAAGCAGAAAAATGTTTGTTTTTCTCTGTAAAATGTAATAAGGAAAATCATTTACCATATTTTCTCTCCATAATGATATTCTTAATTAAATTTAGCTGATTAATTAATTATGCGTAATGAAAGTACTTCAAGAATAAATATCTTATACACTGAGCTAAATTTTATTCAGAATATGCAGATCTTTCATATGTTAATGGTTATATATAAATACCAGCATCTGATAAGCGGGGCTGTTGCGAACTCTGCAGAGAGGGTCTCCCATGGTGACCGTGACAAGTGGCGAGCCAACCTCACAGCTTACGTCGAGTTCCTCGACCGCTTGGCGGTCTCTGTCCCAGTCGAAGCAGCGGATGGTCACCGGCGACATAGGAAAGGAAGAGAAAGAAGAACTCGAGCGCTACTGATCAAGTAGTTAATGAAACAGTGATTTGAATGGATGTCAGGGCGGCGAAGGAGGAAGAAGTAAATATGATTGCGTAGGGATGGCGTTGAGCTTGCCGACTGTGGAGAGCAACATCAGAGGGAACGGAGAAGAAGAAGAAGATGAAGATGATGACGACGAAAGGAAAAAAGGAAGGAGCTTTCTAGTTGTAGGAATGAAGAAAAGATTGGTGGGATAAAGATAAATTTACTTTGTAATGAGGAGTCTATTGGTCTGTCATTTGGCCTGCTGCTGCCACTTGTCAGCATTGGCTTCTGGTTTTGTTTGATTCAATGATTGTATATAGTAATAACATTTATTAAATACAGTATTTTTTGTTCGATGTTACGTTATACATTGTAATATTATCAATGGATGATTAATGGTCTAAATGTTACAGTACTTTGTTTTTGTAGCCATTTGTTTTGACAGCTATATGCCCATCGGCTGATTATTTCTAAGGAAATAATGGAAGAATTTGGGGCTTTGCCTCCATTGGTTCAGCTCATTAGTAGTAAAATATTAATAAATTTTATTTAACGGTTAAATTTTTATATGGTTAAAGTTAGAGCCTAAGCAAATCATGTCGAGCTGAGTATATCATGAATTGACTTGACTTGGTCATATTATATATGAGTTGTTCATGTTCAGTTTAAACACGAGAGGAGCTTTTAATTAAATGTATGTGATAATAATACTGGTTCAGTATTCCTCATACAACCACTATTTAGAATAATTATTCTATTTTACTGTGTACATACAATAACCAAGTTATATACTTTTTAATCAACAACCTCCTTTGATAATAAACTCATGTAATCTACACGATTGGTTCTCTAACAAAATGCACGTTTGAAATGTATCACTATAGGAAAAACGTTAATTTGTCACGGCCAAAAACCGCCGGAAATGATAATAATCCTTCCGAAAAATCACCTTTCTGGCAGATATGAAATCGTTCGACGGTGAAACACACACCGGAAATAACTTTATGGAAGCATAATTATTCTGCCAGAAACCTTTCCGTCGGATTTACTGGTGGGCTTCCGACATAAATTTGAAAAAAATAATGTTTTTTTAATATGCTTTCCTGTAGGTTTAGTTGTTGGAAATTTCGATGAAATATATCTGTCGGAATTACTGGTGGTGTAGCCGCCGGTCATTTTGGCTGGAAAAGCCGATGAAATTTTCCTACGGATAATCCGCCGAATTTTCCGGTGTTTTTAACATCAGAAAATCTGTTGGAATTACCAGCAGACAGTTTGGCGATATTTCACTAGAATAATAGACAAATTTGTTCCGCCAAAAATACTGTCAAATTTGATCAGCCGTAAAGCTCATTTTTATTCGTCGTATCAAGGTTTATGATGGATAATTTGCTAAAAATATGTAGCATAAACAAAAAAAAAAAAAATAAACACATTCTCTTACTTATTGTACAACACAATAATCTTGCAATCATATAGTCAAATCATACATATGCTATCCTCACATTTCAAAATTAGACAAAAACACTAATGCTAAAATAATAGGACATTTGATCAGAAATAAATATTATAAAAATTATTAAATAGTTTCAAAACAAACATCAAGTTCATTATATAATAAAAACACAACATAAAATCTACAAAGACATAGTAATAACACGCCCAATAATAACACAGTTGACTCATAATATGTTTTAATTTGTCATTATCATCTTTTGTCAGTGCTGACTTCTTTTCACTAAACTGCTACATCATTCTCTGCATCTTGTCCAATATTTGACTTTGAAGCATCTGCATTTGCATTTGCATGCAGCTTGTGATTTTCAGACTTGATCTAGCTCTGTTATAAGGCCAACCACTTGTTGACTATACAAAATTATCCTGGCAGCTTCTTGAAAAGCTGGAGTCACCGTTATAGCTTCACTTTCACTTATGCCTCCATTTACCTCTCACACCAAGTATGGTAAGTGGGGCCATAATGGAACATCATAAGATCTCAATTTAAAAGAATTATCAAAATTTTTCTCTTAATTAATTAATTTGTTGGAGTTACTAAATATATATCATTTTAAATAAATTTAATAAATATAATTATAAATCATATGCATCAAAATATTTATATATTAATTCATTCATTCAAAATATAACATATAATAGCTAGGAGATTTCGACAATATTAATATATCCTTTTTAAAGCTTTCAACTATAAAAAAACAGAACAAAATAGATAAATAAATAAATAAATCTAAAAGCACTAATTAGCCTCACTCTCGAGGGTCCATCAATAAAAAATCACATAGTGAGCAAATAACTCATCATGTTACCAAAATCTATAACTGAAATCAACATAAGATAATAGAAATATTATGCATGTAACAATCAATGAAACAATAATAAATTTCATGATCAATAAATCTCAGTATAATTGTATATCTTAAGAATAATAAGTAATAACCAAGTAGACCATGATCTGTAAGTTTTATCAATCATATACCCAACAGTTATAAAATAGTTTACATAACATCTTACTATATCAGTACACCTGTCATTCTAATATGCATGCCATACAATGTCTATGTTATGCATGCATATGATGTAAATATTTATGTGATTTATATATATCAAATATTTTTGTATCAATTTTATCAGTCTTATCAAATACTTATATCAATCATAACATGAAACTTATGTAAATAATATTATGTCAATTAGGTTGAAGCTATAATGGTGGGGGGGGGTCTAATTTGGTTTTTTGGAGGGTTCCTTGCAGGTGTAATTCCAATCTTATCTTCATGACCTGCTTAGACCTTCAGGTATTTCTTTTTTGGTTTCTTTTTGTGCTGCATTCCTTTTTGTTTCTCCCTTTTTGCAGGAAGCCTATTCTGAACGATTATCTATTGAGCTTCAATTTTTGGGTGCTGAGAGATTTCAGCCCTTGTCATTTTCTCTATGCTTATTGTATTTTTAGATTAAGGAACCACAGGCTCATAGGGCTTTTTTACTTTTTCCTTGTAGCTAATTCGAGCATTAGCGAGCTAGTGGATCCTTTTTAGGACTTTGTAACCCCTTTTTTGAAATTAACACGTAGGCCCCTCCGCGGGTTTTAACCAAAAAAAAAAAAGTTCAACGAATTTTTTGCTAGAATTTGCTCGAAAATTTTTCTGGCAGAAAGTTTTACGTAGGTAGAACTTTTTCGACGTGTATTTTATCGGCGTAATTATTTCCGCCGAAAATCCTTATTTCCAACAAATTTTGACCATTTTCTGACAAAAATAGCCATAAAAAATTGACATTTTTCCTATAGTGTACTTGAATATATCTCAATTATATCTATAATGTTTCCATGAATCTATTATATCACAAATCATCTATGTCAGGTTGCTTTCATATAAGAAGTTATCATTTTTTACATGTCATTGTATTATATATATCATATTAATATGCCTCACTACAAGAGAATCACTCATTATCGGCGGAATTTTCTGGTGGCTTTCCGACGGAAAATAATGAGACAACATTTTCGATGAAATTTTCCTGCAGTTTCTTTCCAACTGATTTTCCGACGGCTTTTTCAGTTTTTCGACGGAATTTTATAAATTTAATTAAATTGATTAAAATTTTAACTTTTTAAATGATTTAATAAATATGATTAAAAAGAATATTAATTATTTCCTTAATCACCGGTAATTTTAAAAACCGTCAAAAATTAAATGATCAATTTTGATCATTTTCACCGGAAATAGATGATTTTCCTGTAGTGTCTTATTATGGCTTCTTTTTTATTTCATTTAGGATTACACCACACATTTTATTTTAAATGAAAGTCCGTCGGCCCACCCTCCTATATAGAATAATATATATTCAAGCAACATGTGCCAATTTTTTTAGAATTTTTTATACTTCTTATTTTCATGTCTACACTACTCATAAAATTAAGAAAAAATTCTATGTTATAGAAAGACGGTTTTTAAATTAAACTTAGAATGATTCGTGAAATATTGTTTACTTGGTTAGAATATGAGTTATTATACATAATCTCTCTCACATCGGCATGAGATAGATGGGACCAAAAGAATAGATTATATTGCTTAATATTTTGCATATGCTTTTTGCAAGTGGGGCAAGAATTCTTCCTGTATATGCATCTGACAAATGTGGCAAGAAAAGTTCATTTTGGGCACTTGTAATATAACAAAGAGTATACTTTTTCACATTTCAAAATTGAGTACCTACAATACCATGAAAAGAAATATACATGTGCAATGCAATAATACTCAATGCAACATTCAAAAAGTGCATGAATTATCAACAAAAGCCTCATTACTTATAAAACAGATACTCGTCTAAATTTTCTTTTTCAATTCCTAACATCAAAGACACATTTATGTTGACATTCAAAACTATTATATAATTTATATAATTGCCTAGAAAGCCTCAGTTTAATAGTATACTTAGAAAATCATATCAAAAAAATTAACCAGTTAAAATTTATTTTATTATAGTTAACATATTCAAAATAGAGTATATGATAACATATAAAAAGTGATGCAAAGAAAACTTCAAAAAACTAAGAAAAATATATTTTAATACATAACTTATTATAAAATATAAGAATTGGAATCATATATAGGGATTCAGAAACCTACCTCGAGTACGAGCTACAATTTTCTTAATTTACCTGTTGATTAATTATCGAGCATTGGCATCCAAAATCTCCTCCCTTTCTTTATCTATCCCTTCTCTTCTTCTCTTGCAGCCGAGTGGAGAAATGGCATGCCAAAATGATTTGAGAAATTTTAATATTTAAAAAGCACTTACTCTAATCTAGTGCAATAGCACCCATAAAGAATCTTTGAGATTCTCCCAAAATATGCTCACATGAGACCTAGCGCCACAGGGTACCCTCAAAACTATTTTTATTCCATAAACTAGAAATCTCAAAACTGCTTCACTGCCAACCCTGGCGCCACACCACCCACAGAGAAAATTTTAAACTTCATATTTTCATTTCATAGACCCAAAATCTTGATTATTTTTTATCTCATTCACATTCTAACACTTCTAATTACTAATTAATTCAAAATTAATAAATATTATAAAAAAATATTTGAATTTTAGACAATCGATATTTCATCAAATGTATCTTATGGCTTCTCAAAGGCACATTCTATCATGGTCTACTTCTTAAAAAGTTGACCTTACTCTTACTACTTAATCAGACTCTAACTAGGTTAGTGATCTTTCTGACATATAATCTATAATGGCGCTATTGTATGTTTCTTGGTCACTCTCTCATCTCTTGGTATATGAAGAATTGACTACAGTTGTTCGATCTTCTATTGAAGCAGA